TCTCTCTCTCTCTCTCTCTCTCTCTCTCTCTCTCTCTCTCTCTCTCTGTGTATGTGTGTTTTCTCACTCTGGTCGATCACTCCAATGTGCCCAGAAAATCAATATTGTCCAAACACATTCAAAGTAGGATCAAAGCATTACATAAATGAGAATAAGTGCAAATTCGAAATGGACAAAGTCAAATAAAAGGTATACTACATATATATTCCATTTTGGTTGTACTCAATGCAACGTGTATCATAGAAAACATTGGTAAGCTTGTTTACTTAATTTGTTCGCTTCTTTTTTGTTTCAATATTCGCTGATTGGGACGATTTCGTTCTCTCTTCATACTGCGTCATTGGAGTTTGTTGTAGTACGAATGTAATGTACGTTCTTACGCTTAAGATCGTATAAACCTTATATCCACTTTGAGATTTTATTTTTCTTTCATTTTGTATGTGCTGAACAGCATTTTAACCTACTATGTGCATCTTAGATGCGTCATCGTACGCCACTTTGTTGAAATGCATTCAAACATTCTAGTGCATTTACCGAGAAATTGGAAAATGTGATTTAGTAAATGATTTAAATATTGAACAACGTACATGCACACATATTCCCGGGTGATGATCGTTCAAAAAAAAAAACCTACCGATAGCATAATATTCAGTCAGTCGTTTGGAGGATACTGACTTAACTGTATTGAAAGGAATTCAAGTGTGCACGATACACATGCATATATTACATTCTATCATTCAAATCTGTATACACTTTTCGGGTAGGAGATACAGCATAGAAATCGTTCCATGAATAAGCATCGTCATTCAAAAGTACTCGCAACATTTAAAACCATTTACCACTGCTGCTGCTTTCGCGCTTTTTTTTTAATGTGCAAAAAAATGGAGCTACGCTCAAGTTCTTTTCATCCATTCAAACGTATTTTATGTCTTTGAATTTGTTAATGCTGTTGTATTTTATTTGCACCACAAACAATATCGTATTTAGTATATGAGAGATAGATAGAGGCAGAGGGGAAAGTTGTTCAAACAAACCATTTGCGATATTCCAAAATTAGAGAAAAGGGTAAAAGCTTGAAGTCTTATGTTGCACAAAACCCAAAAAAAAAATGCACAAAAACCCAAATGTAATGTAATTTAAGATCTCATTTTTATTAGAACACTTATGCTTATAGTTTTGTTTAAAATTAAAATAGCTTTTATAGTTCAGTTTTAGATTTGTATAAGATGCAAAGATGTTGTTGTTACTGTTGTTCAACGATGGCTGAAATTGGTTTTTATCGATGCGTTCGATTTGATTCGATTTGCTCTGTGAGTGTGTGAGTGTGTGTTTTAGTTGGATGTTTGCATCCATCTATTGAAATTTAAAATGTTTTTCGCTCAATTTGATTCTTATAAAATTTATGGCATTTGAATTTGACTTCCGGTATGATGTCGTCGCTTTTGCTTGCTTACGTGCTATAGCCGACGTACAATTGCTATCATAGCATCTTGTGAAAATTCAATGCTTATGAAATGTTGTGGTTGTGATTTTTTTTTTTTAATTTCACATGGAATATTCTACAGGTTTTGTTAGTGTTTTTTTTTCAACATCGTATTGCGAATATAACACACCCTACATATTTTTGTTTAAAATATATATGCATATATGTGAATATTAGGTGCAAAATGTGTTAATGGTTTTCGATCGTAAAATTACTCTACTCGCTTCCACTTTTTGTTCTTTCTTTCTTTCTATCTCAAACGCACGCAAACATACGTTTCTTTTTATCTAAGTTTTCATCGAAAGTCTAGAATTTATTTATCTCGAATTTGTACAACATTATTTAGCCGATACTAGCTATGCGTTGGTTGAGTAGGCATATTGTTTCTCTTTTTCCTTTTTTTCCGATGACACATTTTAAAATGAAAATGTATTCATGTTAATCACTTTTGCTGTTGCTGGCACCTATGTCATATAGTTCATGTTATATGTATATTTAGTATATATATATTTTAAAGAAATAGTAAAAAGTTTAAACTAGAGCATTCTATACCATTTATGATCATATCGTGAATATGTTCTCCATTTTTTTCGACTCGAATAAATGTAAATTGGATTTCATCTTCATTCAATTTCATGTTCTTCATTGTACATTTGATTGACATAATCGGATGTTTGGTCGCACAAATTATGAAATTTGAATAAAATTCAATTATTTGTACATATCGATGCAATTCCAGGCCGATTTCAAGTATACTAGATTGCTTTAAGTACTCTGCAATCCAAGGACGCGCGGAAGAACAGATATTTTTCTTTTAAAATGTTTTTTTCATTGACGGAAGTACGATAGTTTCTTCAATTGCTCCCATTTTGAGCAATATTTGCTGTGTCCCTTTCAGCCATTACATAATATGGCCGATTTCTACTAAAGTTCATAGTCTCAATTAGTTCAACCGCTTGTTTTTATAAAATGAATGACAACTTTTCTTTTTCTTTATGCAAATAAGATGTTTGATTATTTTGAGTGAAAAATGTTTGTCGAAGAAAATGAGCGCTAGCACTCTTCAAGTTTTCTATCATCGAGTATTGTAAGGTCAGTATATATGAAGACAAAGACGACGATTATGAAAGTAGAAAAAAAATGTATGGATCCCATGAAACTGAGAACAAAAAAAAATGTATAAAATAAATGTGTATATCACTTTCAGATGTGCTTCATTTTATTTGATGATTAGTTTCTGTCTCTTTTATCGTTTTGCATCGAACTTCAATTGTGAGTTTATTTTTTTCCAGGTTTGTTTTTCCTGATTTGCACAATTTCAATTCCAATATAACTTAATATTTGTTATAATTATTGTGTTTCTTTTAATTGCTAACAACTTATAAAATGATGTAAATGTCATTTGCATAGAAATAAAGTAAAAAATATTTTCGTTCGCGCTTTTTTTCAACTTTCAATTGCGTGTTTGGAAGAAAACATCCATTTAGTATAGATTGGCGAACGATTCATTGACATTTTCTTTGCTAATTTTTTCTTTATTTTTGTTGACTGCTTTCATTATTCTTAATTTATATTATTGGTATGGGCATTCACTCTAATAGCACTTTTTCTACATATAATTGCAAAATGACATGAATTTAATTCAAATATTCCGCATCGGTCACCGGTATTCCTGTATTCCATTTCATCAATTAGCTTTAAAAATAATTCCAACCTTTTTGCGTATGATATTCAATTGGGTATTTTCTTTCTTTTTTGATTGGATTTGAATCATTTTATTATATTATATGATTTTAGTATGCCATATAAACATAGAATGCTAGCTTACTAGCTACGAAAAAAAAGACAAGCATCCTGACGCTTAGAAATTTTTCAAAAGTTGTTTGCAGTGCGATATGTGCGAATTGAGACCGCTCAGCTGTCTGAATCTTCTATCACATGCATTGCATTGAAATGGTTTTTCATCGCTGTGGATCCGTTCGTGTGTTATAAGACCGCTCAATTGGCGGAAACCTTTTTCACAATACGAATACGAGCATTGGTATGGTTTTTCGCCCGAATGAACGCGCAAATGGGTTTTTAAATTGCCTAATTGAACAAATTTTTTGTCGCACATTGTGCATTCAAAGAATTGTGCCGTATTCGTATGAATCAACATATGAATATCCAAATGATCACGTCGCTTAAATTTTCGACTGCATCGATCGCAATTGAATGATAAATTACCATCTTCTGGATTGTATTCAATTTTAACAACACGATTTGGATTTTGTTCATCGATTTGTTGCCGTTTTGATTTTGATTTTTTCAATACTTTTTCACCGCCCGGCAAGCGTTGAAGCATTTTATAGGCCATTAAATCCTGTACACCACCATTTCCATCCAAATGGGATGTCGTTGGTTCGACTTTGTTTGGACATTTATGCGCACGCAATGCGCTCGATTGATGGAATTCCTGTGTACATGTTGTGCAACGAAATGGCCGAAAATCGAGATGAGTGCGTTGATGGGCTTTGAGACCGCTCAATTGTCGAAAATCCTTGGTACATATGTCACATTGAAACGGCTTCTCGTTCGTATGAATGCGATAGTGTGTCTTCAAATTGCCCTGTTGACTGAATGTCTTGAAGCAAATTGTACATTCGAATGATGTTGGTTTTTTGTCGGAATGTCGTTTCATGTGGATCATCAGACGATTGTCATCGACAAACGTTTTATCGCAAATGGTGCATTTGTGCTGCTGGGCCACTGTAATCACATTTGTTGTTGTACCGCCAACTATATTCGGTGGTGGGTGTTGTGGCTGTTGTTGTTGTTGTTGCTGCTGTTGCTGCTGCTGCTGATGATGATGATGATGTTGATGATGTGCAACACTGTTCGGTAAAACCGATGTTGGTACAATGCTTGCCGCTGATGCAGCAGCAGCAGCTGCAGCCGCGGCCGCTATGTGCCGATTTTGATATGAGTCTGCTGGATTCAATTTCACATAGTTGATATTGTCCTGAATGAAATTCGAAGCTATAGCACCAATTTGTTGATAATTTGGAAAGAAATTCAATGCATTGCTGTCATTCTTTATAACCAAATCCATGTTGGTTCGATAAGATCAGGCGTTGAAACTCTCTCACACACACACTTATACGCTGATTTGCGATCGTATGTGATTTTTAGCTGTGCGATTATTTCGTACTTGATTCTCAGCTACAAATCAAAAATAAACGAAAAAAGAAAGAAAAGAGACACAAGATATATACTTCACTGAAATGTTGATATTATCATCAGTTTCATTTTTGACTTCGATCGAGTGCAAACGAAATGAAGGGAATTATAAACGAGAAAATGAAGAAATCGAAATCAAACAAACATCTATATATTTAGAAATGAAAAAAAAAGTGCATGAATCGACGACGACAATAACAACGATTTCACCATTGAACATTTCACAGTTTTTTCCTGATCTTCTTCTTCCTTTCAGAAAACGTACAGATCTAAAGAAGTAATCATCATGAAAACGAATGATTCAACGAGAATGAAGAATTGAATGCTTGCAATAGAGAGCAGCGAAAGAAATAATAATTCAAACGAAGAAACTGAACGAGGAGGAAAAACATTAAGACACGAAAAACCATCCAACTATAATAAGAATAACAAAACCAAAAAAAAAATCGGCAGAGAATGAGAAAAAGAAGAACCGAGTGAAACAAACAAAAAAAAAACAAAACACACACAACATAATAATAATAAACACATACAAATCAAAAATAACTAAAAACGAACGGCTTTAACTTTGGCTTTTTATTTTGTCGACGATGTTGTGTGTGCTGTGTGTATTTTGTATTTTTGTATTTAGTAAAGTGCGCGACTATTTAGAGAACAACAAGGCATACACGTATATTATTCGATCGAAAAGGCAGTTCGGTTCGTTGGCTCGCTGACTGGCTGGCTGGCTAAGAAAACGTATACAATGTCTGTGCAGCAACGTTAAATGATATATATATATATATATAGTTGAATGATACTGAGAATATGCACATCAGATTGAAGTGTGTACTACGGTCTGTGTATGTCATGGGTATGCCATACATTGTATTGTGGCAAAGCATCTTACGACACGGCACGGCACAGCCAGAGTCTCAATCTATCTATATATATGTATATAAATATATAAATTGTTGCATAGCCATAAATATAAAGCTAAGACAAAAACAAAAACGGCAAAGCGGCGAGCAAAAAAAAAGAATACAAAAGACGTTTTCGTTCATTCGTTCGTTGGTTGATTTTTCTTTTACCAATTCGACGTCGTTTTTCCCTGGATATACCATGTTCATTTTCTGGCCAGAAGAAGAATCTTGCCTGTGTGTACGATGTGCTTGAGTTTACTGTTGTACATGTTACTGTCAAAATCGTTGTGTATAGCATAGAGAATATGTATGATATGGCATTTGTGCTACACATGCGCGCGATTACATGCGTTGTCTGTGGTAGAGAGTTACTGTCTATGTGAAGTCTATGTAGTATATTGGATTGTTAATACAAAAATGGTGAATGTCAAATTGAGTAAAAAAAAAACAGAGGCGAATGAGTTTAGTTATGGTTCTCTCCCTCGCACTTTGTTCGCATTGCAGTGCAATAATCGCTTTCGCTCTCTTTTGGTCGCGCGAAGAAAAATAATATATGTATCTCTGTATTCTAGCTCTTTGTTGATTCAATGCACATTTTTTTTTCTTTTCGTTTTTTCTTCTTTTTCTTTTTCGGTGTATTTTCTTCATTTCATGCTGCACTCATCGTTGTCTTCGTTCATCCATTTCGAATAAAATGATCGAATTTATTTTTAATTCTTACTTACAATTATCAATTGTTCAAGCGAACCATTCAACATTCAGCATGAAATATATTGCCGAAATGCCAAACTAGTTTGATGGTATCGCAAGTGAAGAAGTCTTACAGTACAGACAATACACAATCCTTTTATTCCGTCTATGATCTACTACTTTACACTTGACGCCGAATCGATTTGTTACACTTTTATCCGATTTTTTGTTGCGGTATTCACGATTTTCAGCATAAAATTTTGTTCGTTTCCATTTGCAACTGAATTTACGATTGAATACAAAACGCCGTCTGTCAATTTGATGAAAACAGTGCATGCGAATGTACAATACAATTCTGAATTATAACAATTCATACACATACACAGTGATGTTGCGTTTTTTTTTTCTTCTTTTAAGTTCTCTTTCGATTTGTCTCTATTGTTTTAGTTTGGCCAATTGGACTTTATGGGGTTTGGCTCTTCAATCGGTTCGGACTTGAACTAGAATTATTTATATTTTCGCGTTATATTTCAGCTTTTCGGTTTCGAAGAACGCACTATTTTTTGTCAATAGTATAATATGTGGAAAAGAAACGGTGACAGCATCAACACTTGAAGAGAAATGCGCGTATCATTCAATAATTCTTTTCGACAAACATCAAAACACCGTCGAGAATACACACAGGAGAGAAAGCGAAACAGGAATATCGAATCTCAACCGAACAGAGCAGAATGAATATATAACAAAATAAAATCAAACTATTACAATTTCACAATCAAGCAGTGTGGCTGCTCTCAATGTGGCAGAATAAAAGTTTTAATGTTTATCTGTTCAAGTATAACAGCAAAACTAAAAGGAGACGACGGGCATTGGTTTGGTTGTACCCGACTGAATACAGAATATGTGCATGGCTATGTGTTAGAACAAATGTGATTGTGTGTGCAGGCGACGACCGAAGCAACGACGACGACGGCGACGGCTTTTCTCTCTCACATTCAACCGTACATACACATATTGACAAAATACACAGAATGCGCACACTGAAGAGAGACGGCCATATCGTCATCATATCGTACCGTGTGTATGTTGGAGCGCTTCTATTCCACTGTGCACTCGATGGCACCGTGTTTTTGTTATTATTATTATTGTTGTTGTTGTTTTTTGGTGTGTTATTCGGTTCGCACAATATAGCGATACTGAATGCCCAATGCCTTTATACCGCTTTTGTTTCGACGCTATCTCATGAACGTAGTACGTGTAATTTGTTGAGGTTTTTTGTGGTTCGCCTCATTTTTTTTCACATTTTAGCTCACATAAGCTACTTTGGGATTTAGCATTTATCTTGAAGCCAACAACCGAAAAGATTTCCACTGAAATATTAATGTCCAGTGCTAAACTTGAATTTGTCCAGTGTGTGATGGCTTTTTTTCACGTTTTCTTTCGTTGATATTAAAATTGTAATCTTAACGCTGTTGTGTTCCATTCAAATATGTTGTGGGATTTATTTCGGGATAGAAACTGTATCACTGTGCAATCAGCGACATTTTACGCGCACTTACGGTGTACCATAGTATCGATCGTTTTCCAGATCTATTTTGAAAATATACGAATTTTTACAATCTTCACGCTTATGGAATATGGCTGTTTTTTCGCTTTCATACTCATGACATTTCCACAAAGTGATTTTAATCTTTGCCTTTTTACAATTTATCGTTAGCACGGCAAAACATGAAGTAGCACGATCATTTAATCTCTACCATCACAACATATATATCGCATAAGGTGGGCTACATAAATGCTATACAATAATATGCGAAGTTCGGTGGTTCACATTAGAATATGAAATTGTTTTTATTAGATGTTATAAAAGGCAAACGTAATGTCAATTGCATTTCAAATGGCAAATACTTTGCTTCTTACACATATAAATGTGCCAATTGGTGCTATATGGATCTTGATTCGATTTGTGTGCTTTGGACTATTTTCAAACATTTTCGTTGATTTGTTTCTATTGTTAAAAAGGTTAAATCGAATTTAAGGAAAAAATCACAAACTGCGCCTTTTTCTTTTACAATTATTAAGTTTTCTATCACCGATAAACAGCAAAGCTGTCAACTTAAATGTGCTACCAGAAAAACTAAAAATCTCATCAGGTCAACAGATACAAATGCATTTCGTACAGTTTTATCTTATGTTCACTTCCATTGGAAGAAGAGTCTGATGGCGAGTTGTTATTGTCGATATTTTTCGTTTGTTTTTCTCTTGTTTAGTTTTTGAAGTTGATCCGATTTCTGCACAACTTTTGTGTAGTTTGTAGTTTCAGTGTTAAATGTGCTGGATAAGAAGAGTGTATTTTGGTCTAAACATTGTACTCTCATATCTATATAAGCCACATGTGTTGGCTTTATTTATGACCTGCAAACAATGTTAAAATTTTGAGAATCTATCGACACAATGACGGTCGGTGTGGTGTACGACTCTTTATTGCCCTCGAAATGATTTTAAGAATGAAATAAAAAAAAATTATGAGAATTTCCAAAGAGCATGAAAAAACATTGCGCTCGCCTAATAACAATGTACAAAAGAATAATACACACACACACACATACGAACAATTACACATATACATAACGCACATGAACATTTTCAAAATGAGAAAATTCAAAATGATCGAGAATGAGGTATAGAAACGATTGGCGGCCTTCCATGTCGTACTTTTTACTCGCTCATACAATTTTTCTCTTTCAAATTTGCTCGGTCGGCAGGCACGGCATTTATTTCCTATTATTGTTACACGGTGCTGTTGCATCATACACATTTATGCGAAAAATTTAAACTGGCGTGCATATTTGATGTGTGCATACACACACTCGCACAATTCAGTATGCAACACATTGTTCGCCCTTCGAAATATCAAAAAGCGCACTCACATCAAATTATAATTTAGATCATTAATAGTAACGAGTTGAATAAAAATAGACAAAAAAAGGGAAAATGAAAACACATACATACACACACGATAAAAAAAAATTGGGAAAATACATCGGCGGAAACGATTTCTATAAAAACGCTTATTGAATCAGAGCCATGATTGCTCATTCAAACATCGTATGCCATGTTCTAACTGGTAATTTCTCTTTATTAATTCGAATCGTTTTCTTCACGTCGTTCTGTTTTCTCCTCTTCTTCTCTCTGTCGAATTGAAATGTAATGAATTGGTAGATAGATCGAGTCGGCGAGAGCGTTGAGAATTCAATGGCTTAGAATGATGAGGCAAAAGAGAACACCAAAAAAATGAATCAATGATCAATTTAATCGGTTTTACTTGCCTATTGTATTATACACATCTTTTTTTTTATTTCATCCAGACCATTCTGCGGCCATTCCTACCATCGTCATTATTATATTTTTTGTAGTTTTTTCAAAGGTCTTTTTTTCATCCTCTCAAACAATATAGCAACACGCATATACGGAATTTCGAGAAAAATGATGGAAAAAACTCTAATATGGATATGCGAGTTATAATATGCGTTTGTGTGCATAGCATGTGAGGCTGTTTTGTTTTCTTTGGCTCACTCATTCGGGCGAGCGCTCGTTAAATCACGAACACAAAACAGATCGTTAAACTTGTGTATTATATTTTGGTTCGTCTACGATATATACGCATATTTGGTACCTACACTTTTGAGTGTCTTCATGATGTTGTTTTGATTCCTTTTCATTCTATGTTGTTGGGTTCGGAGTGAGTTTGAATTTTTCAGTTGTTTCGCTCTCTGTGCTCTCATCTCTCTTCTTTTTCTCATCTTCTTTCTATTCTTTTGCAGCAGCAGCAGCGTCAGCACCAACAAAGATGACTTTGTATTTCGAAATTTTCATGCCATTGTGCCACACACTCAATCGTTAAATATATATTTATAGTATCGGTTCAAGATGCATGTGCATAAAGATGAAATTTGTTTCAGGATCACAGAAATACAACATTTTTTTTTGATTATGACTCTGTGTTTGTGTGAATATGTGCAATGAAGGCGTTGCATGAACCACACATACGACACTCACATTGAAATGCATTCGGTGTGATCGTTCAAGTTTTCGTTGTCTTTAATTTTCTGTCTTTCTTTTCTATCTTCGTTGCACTATCATTGAACAAAAAAGAATTGTTGATGTTACGGATGCATATAGCGCACATAGATGCATTGCTGTATGCTCCAGAATCCAGCATCAATATATTTTTGCCATACATACGTTTCAACTCATTCCATTCATAGGTGGATGGCAAAAGATTCGAGGAGATAGTGAATAAAGTGAATTGAAAGCCGAAAAAAGAGAATAATACCATCTACCAATAACAATCAATACACGACAGAAGAAATAACACATACACACACACACCAATGTGTTAGTACTGACTCAAGGAAAGAAAGCATTAAACGAAACAACAACACGCATTCAATACAAAACGTTAAATAAAACATCCGAACGTTCGAAGAAAGCAAACTAGTATAGATGCATGATTCCGAGCACAAATAAAAGAATAAAATAAAGATTTGACGTAAGTGAAAAAACAACATAACAATGACACCAAAACACAAGCGAGCGTCCAAAGCTATATATATATAGATGTGCACAGTGCAAAAAATGTGGGTTGCAAAATATACCATTTTGTCAAGTACAAATAACACAACGGTCAGCACAAAGTACACAGAATGACAAAAACAACAACAAAAACAACCTATTATCGGTGGATGTGAAAAGAGAGAGGAAGGCAGCATACAATATTTTTTATTTTACTCGTTTACTTAAGCTTGAGTTTTAACTCACGCGCGCGCGCTTAACTCTCTGCAAACAGAATTCGCTCGCTTTTTACTAGTATACACACATTTGGCACAATATATTTTGAGCACATATGCTATCGCTTATATGCTGCACTTCTGTGCCTGAAACCGTCAACTCGTTTTGCTGAGCTTCGTTTTACTTGTACGTTTTTCCGTATTTTGATCGGCCAGCAAATCTTTGGCCAGCATCTCTTCATTCGGCAGGCAATACCAGAATATCAAAACTTAACCCAACAAAGAACACAAAACCTTAATATTTCTTATGAAATTGTTTACTTGCACACCGAAGGAATGAGATAGGGAGAAAGAGAGATAGAGTCGCACTTTGCTCTCTAGTATTTCTCTTGGCCAATTCGAAATACATCTGTTCGTATTCGCTCCATAATTGTCTGATTTTATTTTATTATATTTGCTGCTTTATACTTAACTATGTCTGTCTCATATATTTTTTGGCATTTCTTTCACCATCAAGTCATATTACAATGTATTTTATAAAGGTACACAACAAAAATCTCCAATCCGTTCGAGATCTGTGCTTTAATTTGTTTTGTCGCCGTCATATGCTCTCCGAATATATGTATGGCCGATGTTCGTTCCATCGTTCTCTTGCTCATTCGCCCAGTGATGCAAACACAGTCGTTATGGCATCGAAATCAAAATTCATACGAACAACATACAAATGATGCTTAGATGCACATTGATTTGTGCATTTTCATTTGGGATTGTTTGTGTCGTGATCAAAACTGTATGTTTGTGTCGGGCCTTTGTATTACACAGATGAAAAAACTTTCTTATTGTGTGATGGTACTGCTAAATTCAACAGCCACAAGGAAAATCGACTGAAATATTGTATCTCACGCTTAGAGCTTAAAACATTCACAATTATAAGGTACGATTTGTTGTAAAAATGTAAAATTTATTACCACCAATGAACGATATAAATGGCATCGAAAATGGTCGATTCCAAATGAAATGCGAAAGAAATATTCGAAAAACGGTTATGACAAACAAACTCTATCGCATTCAAAACAATGGAAAGAACACAAAACGTTGGCATGTCCAAACGAACGGGAAAAAATCGAACACAACATCACAACAAAAATGATACACAAATTCTGCACACAACGGTACATTTTTTTTCAATTTTCTGAACATCTTTCAATTCGAATTTCTTCTATTCACTCTCTAGTTGTCTCTTTCTTTCTTAAAATATTTTTAAATGATTCGAAGACAACAATTTTCATTGTGTACGAAGTTTTCAACTTTTTCAATATTCGTACAATTGAATTTTGATAATGTGACTATTTTTCAAACAAATCACAACTTTTGAATATAGTGTTCACTCAATAAAATTGCAACCAAATGCAATTGCAATCGAATCAAATGTAATGCAATCAGTTTTTTTATCGGTGCAATAATTGTTTGCTTCTTAAAAAAAAAGAATCGGGGGGACTGGCACAATTTCAAAATATGGAACAACTAAATTGATATGCATCCTGTTGTTGTCGCTAACGCTTCTAAAGTAAGCCATTTCTTAATTTTTTAGAATATTGAGTTGTTGTGTTGTTGCTTGCGCAAATTGAAATACTTTCTTTACAACGTCTCTGTTTCTCAGCAATATAAAGAGAATGAATGCAAAGCATAGCAGCAAGAGTAGTAGCTGCATCAGCAACAGTAGTAGTAATAACAACAGAAAAACAAATAAATAAATGAACGATGAAAAAAAGATCGGCTAAATAAAGTATGCGTCGAATGAGTGAAAGAACTAGTAAGCGAACATCGAAGAACTTCCACATGAAAGATATGGCATATATTATGAAGAGCCGTTAGTGTATAAAATTCAGAATGTGCTTTGCGGTTACGAAGAATTTTTCTCTCTTTCAGTTCTCTTTGTTATTATTGTCAAGTTGTTGTAATGAATATACAAAGACATTGCCTAACCGCTTAAAATGACATAAGATGATTGAAGTCATCAAAGCGACACATAAACACACGGCCATAGATGAGCATAGACTGAAGCACAAAATGCTCTGAGCAGAAACAAAATGAATAAAGAATAGGAGAGCGAATAAAAAAAAGTGTGTGTGTCTGCATGGGAGCTAGTATAAAATGGAAAAACGCCATCGTGCACTGAGAGAAAAGTACAATAACAACAACAAAAATAGTTCTGGAAAAGAAGAAGCGATGGCAGAACGCGTGCAAACCGAAGATGAAAGACATCAAGTTCTATAATCGTAATTAAGAGGAACAAACGATTACTCGGTGTTGATGCTGTTGCTTGCTTCTTTTTTTTGTTTTAGATTTTGCTCGATTGTATGGCTTAGTGCTGCTCTTTCGGATGCTCAGACTTCTCTACGCCATGATCGGCGTATTCTTATCCGCAAATATGTGGCAAATTTACCGTTTTGCATTGTATAGCATATCATTCTCTTTTCATTTCGGTGTTTTACTTGTTAATCGTGTCTTCATCGTCATCGTAATTCGACCTATATATTTTCGTGTTGTCATTAATAGTGAATGCATTATTGTATTTTTGTTGTGTTGTTTCATCATAACAGAATATGATTCCCTATTGTGAGCACGTTTAGTTTTTCATTTAAAAGTTGTCTAGAAGTGGTTCCAATAATAAATCGCGTCTTTATCTGTTTTGTTGTGTTTGCATGCATTTCGTCTTTGTCTCTTTGCACACTCAAAATGTTTGTTTTTTTTTCTCTGTATTCTTTGCAGTGATAGTCTCTCTGTGAGTACCTCATATTCAAAATCTTTTCGCGTGACTTTTTTTTTCTCTCGCTTTCAACGATACACGATACGACTTAATTAAAACAGTCAATGCTTAATATTATGTCACCCGAACGAGTTGAAAAGTGCTTACGGCGAATTATTTTCATTCAACTGCAATAACAAAATCACTCAGAAGAGAAAAATGCTTCTTTTTTCAAACAACTTCAGTTTTTCTCGATTGTTTTTGTTGTTGTTTTATTCTTTCATTCTTTTTTAAAAAATCTCTTGTTGTTGTTGAATCACTGACACTCTATCCGTTGCACACACTTCCGCAAAAAATTGAATAAACATTGAAAGATGTAAAAAAAACAACGTCGCACAATAAACGAGTGAATTGATTTTTATATCTCGTTTCACAAAGATTTCTCAGCAATACACGTTTGACAAAATTAAAATGATCACTGAATGCTTTGGTTGTTATAGAAAATCGATCCTATTGTAGCGAACAAACGATTCCATTGAATTTGAAGTTAATATTATATGCATAAATATCACATAACAACGAAAAACGGGAAGAAACAGCAATAAATACGATAAATCAACGGATTGATTCACATTTCATCATACGCAAAATGAATTCGCTCACAATTATTTTTTTCTATTTCAGTGTCGGTCCACTTTGCCCATTTTCGATCCATGAGCTTTAAAATTCTCATTGCATTAGGTAAATTATAAATTGTCCTTGAAATACTGCATAACGATTCAATTGAATGATATTTTGTATTGTGCACGAGTTAAGCTTTCATTCGATTCAAATTACAGTGCATTGCATTTGTTGTGCTATTGTGCGATGCCAATAAAAATGCTTTGCATATCGAATTATCCAAATCGAATCGAATTGAAACGCAAAACATTTCGCGCGTTATTGAATATATACACACACTAAATCAATCGGTGCACGGGTCGTATAATCTATTTTGTACTATGAAATTTCAAAAAAGATTTTAAAAAATGCTTACCGTCTCATTATTGGCAATGGGAATGTGTATCGACCATCGTCGCTAATTCCAACGGGTATAAGAGCGGATGGTGGTGGACCAGGTACAAGTACAGATGGCGGAGGCGATTGAGTCAGAACCGAGGCAGCATTGATTTGGCAATGGCTAGGCATTGGAAGCGTTGTATATGGTGGAGGATGACTGATTACATGATTGTGTAAAATATCAGGTAAAATTTCGCAATTCGAATGATGCGAATGCATTGCGGCTGCTGCCGTTGCTGTCATTGATTGATTTGGTGGATGCACATGTTGACGAGCATTTCTTGGTTGACGACGTTCACGACGTTCTCGACGTCGTTGCTCTCGGCTCGATTGAGCCTCATTTTCATTGCCATTACGTCGACTATGCGAATGATTTGGCTTTGTGCTATTTTTGACTGTTGATTCAATCAATGGACAATCGGTCAATTGACTTTGTTGTCGATGCGCCTCATCCTGATTTTGATTGGGTTGCTGCTGCTGTGGCTGCTGCTGTAAATTATCCGTTTGTGCTTCGGTTGATGTGAATGTACGGTGTTGATTTAAATGTACTTGACTCGTATGGTTGTTGGGGCTTGAGTTATTTGTATTATCCGTTACACTAATCATGTTACTGTTACCACTATTTGAATTCACAAATCCACTTTGTACCCCATCACTGAGTACTACACATCCATTCACATTACCATTCGTATTTGTATTTGTATTTGCATTTGAATTTGTTGTATTTTCATCGATAAATTCAATATTATCACATTTTTCACTTGATTCACTCAAATTGGTGTGGATTTTCGTTTGCGATTGCATCGAATTTTGTTGGTCGTTGTCGTTGATGCTATTGGTTTTATCACTTTTACGAATATCGATACTATTCTTATTTTGCGAATCACTGCTGTTATTATTAACCACATGCACGGGTACCGCACGATAACTAACAAAGTTCACCTGTTGAGTTTGTTCGTTTTGCTGTTGTGGTTGAATTTTATTGTAAATCAATTGTAAATCGGAAAATGTATCCACATCCATCAATGCATCCAATCACGAATCGAAACACGTCGGGCGAGCCAAACATTGAAAAAAAGAAGAAAAAAGAAAAAAATCACATGTAAATATTTGATTTGTGCAAGCGGAAAATACTGTATGACATTTTATGAAATGCACGAACGATGATGATGAAATCTGGATAGATGAGAGAGAAAAAACTAACCACAGAACAAAGGTACATGGAAAAATAATATAAAAATAAACCATGCACCACAACACAATCGAATTAAACAATGACTCCAGCTGAATGCCATTATGGAATCATAGAATTTATGCTCAATTACCTGCGTTTGTTGCGACTGATGTTCGGAGTTTTGATTCACTTGAATTGTAAGACTTGGCTGTGCTTGTGATACAATGGTACCCAGAAGTGTTCCATTTTCAAAAATATGACTTGCAGATGAACACGATGTCGATGTTGTGGTCGCTGTCATTGTCGTTGGCAACGAACAACCATCATCGTATGCATTCGATATATTTACAATGGTTTTACTGTTATCGATTCGATTGATTCGCGTCGATGAAACACTAATGGATGGCTCTCTGGCAGCAACAGCTGCTGTTGAATCTTGATTAGGCACATTGAGTCGCATCGCCGCAATCACACAGCTATTTTTTTGTAAAATATTTCCGCGATTAGAACAACTTAAATTACGTATATTACTTTCACTATTTCGACTAAATTTAAACAAATCGAAAAAAGAATGCGCCGTAGATGATACGCTTGCATGGAATAACCGATCACGACTGAACAGCGCTTGACTCGATCCAATGTTTACAAGCGACGATCCATTCGTTGTCGTCATTGCTGATGTTGTTGTTGCTGCTGCTGCCGCTGTTGCTGTTGTTGTTTGCGTTTCTCTTGTTTCTCTGTTACCGTTTATTGTTGTCTCATTTCTGATCGTGTACATTGTCGATGTTGTTGCTGTTGCTGTTGCTGCTGCTGTCGAATATGCCCGATCGTTCCCCACTCTCCGATGCTTATGCACACCGTATAACGTATCACGTGTTCGTAACGCACTCGCATTCTCGTGCTGTGTTGCCTGTATTGATGCATCGTTGGTAGTCGTTCTATTGAGTTTACTGACCCGCTCAGGTAAATCTTCGTCACGATTTCGTCGATGTTGACCAACAACACAAGAACCAGCAACAACTGCATTTATGGAATTTGTACAATTATTTGTATTTCGTATCACAGATGATTCGGTGTTGGGCGATGTCGACATTAATTGTATTGTTTCGCCTGATCTTGAATTTAGATTTCGGTTTGTTTCGTCTATTGATGCTGTATGATCGGTCAAAAATCGAATATCCAACAGGCTAAAGTCATTCGAAAATCGATTTATCGATGCGGACGAATGAGCATCAGAGTTTTGAACAGCTGATACTGCAGTTTGGGTCGACAATCTTTCATCCATATTTTGAAACTATTTTACGAAATAAAAAAAATCGATATCAATAATAATAAATTGGTAAATTTTCGTATTCGTTATACCTTAATTAAAAAAAATCGTAAATCCTATTCTAATTCAAATAAAAAAAAATTAAAAACCACCCGCGCAAACGATAAATAACTTAACGGCTATAGCTGCCGCACGAAAAATCACAAAAGCGACGATCAATGAACTATTCACGAAATTGAATTGTTTCGTTGCTGCTTATCAAAAACCGATTTGCATAATTAAATGGGTGTGAACGACAGATCTTATTGGGTCAAAATGTTAATGTTGAATTGAATGCCGGTATGAGCCACAGAAGACGAGAAAAAAAGTAAACCTAAATGTGAAAATAGCGTTTTTTACGCTCTCATTTCAATTCATTTCATTTCTTTTCATGTTGCTTGCTTTCATCCATCTATTCAAACAATTCGGAATTTCTTTTAATATATTCAACATTGTATCTGAAGGAATTAATGCATTTATGTGTGTTTTATTGATAAAAATGAGAATGTTATACTTTTTCTTTCTACAACGATCGCAATATGTATGTGTATATGTGTCTTTCTTCATTAAATCTCATTTCACCTTGTTTCGCTTTAATGTGCACATACATTTTTGCCGGAGTCTCAATAAATGAAATGAATTAAAATGAAAAAAAAAAGAAGCATTGAACATAAAAATGGAAATGATTTTCGATGCCTTTGATTTTCATTTGGATTGTGCGTTGGCTTTCGGCCGACGAAATTATCTCAGGGAAGTATAATTTTATGATGCGATATTGCGGCAAATTCTTTTTATGTTTACTACAATTTAATATCGTTATGCGTAATACGGTTTGACTGCAGACGATTGAGTTCATTTGTTGAATGTTTTTTGTTTTATGTTTATTCACCAATGGAAATCGGTTTCGGTTGGATTTTATGACGTGACTGAACATTTACATTTTTCGCATTTACAACCGATTCACCGAAATACGGTTTTCCAAGAATGAATGATACGATTTGAAAAAAAAAAAAAAAACAACTATTACCGAATTAATGAAGGAAATGCACTCAATTTTTTTATTTAATTTTTCTAGTTGCACATGCATGGTCATTGCTATCATATGCGATGTCCGCTACAATGTCTACCGTTTTGAATTTTTGTTTTTGCGAGCAAATGTTTTTTCCCTTGCTCATACACCTATTATCTACTGTAAGACATTTTTTTCTGACCCGAACACATTTTGATTGCAAATATTATGGCTTTGCAAGCGATGAATAAGTTATTGTAATTTTGTATGTGAGTTGTGTGTGGTTTTTTTTTCATTCATTGGTAAATGGTTTCGTCGGTGATTTTTATTTTACCATTCAGAGGTAAAAATTGCTATTACAATATTGTACATTGCACATTGAGGAGAGAAAGGGATAGAAACGAGAGAGAGAGAGAGAGAGAGAGAGAGAGAGAGAGAGAGCAAAACAAACGAAGTAATAAACTATTATTATATTTGCGACTTTATGCGCAATAAAATCGGCATTGCGTGTATCGAAGTGTCTAGGTAGCGTTTGAAATCATTTTGTTTGAAGCGCAGTTTGGTGTATGTACAAATACTTGCGGAGCCTTCTTTGGTTCATATACTAACACAAAAACTGTTATCTTGTTAATATGTTGCATTGTAGTTACTGTGTCTTACTTAAATTTCCACTACATTTTTACATTCGCTTACTTTTTCTCTCTCCTTCTAATTCGCCGATTTCGAACGCGGCCTTTTATTTGTGTTTTTTTATCTTCTTCTAACATACTTATGCATAAAGCATAATTACTCATTACCATTTAAAAGTAATACGGAAATAATGAAGAAAGAAACAAAGAGGCAACCAAATCAAAATTTAATCGGCTGTGAAATAAATACGCAACGCGTGCGTTCTTTTGCTTCTTTTCCCTTTCTCTTAGATATTACATAGCGACTCATTTTAGCTCGGCAGTCGTTTCTTTTTTTGCTTCTTGAAGATTACCAGCAAGCCGTGTTTTTTTTTACCGTGGAAGACTTAGCCGAAGAAGACAATTACATGGAATATTTATTATTTGATCGCCATTCACATCTATGAAGAATGCGTGCATTCCTACTGTTATTTAGAGATTGTATTTTGCGTTTTATTTTTATCTATAGCTATAGCGGAAACCGAATTCTAACTGTACTTGCACACCGAATGTTTTATGCACTTTTAGAAATACTATGAAATGAGACAACAAATATTATAACGATGTTACCCTCGACATAGCATATAATAAAAACTCAGCGCAATGATTAAATCTTCAATTCATTCAGTTGTTTGTTCAACGAGTTCTCTTCCAATTGAAATGAGAGTCGCCCAATGTCAATTGTTTTAAATTAAACACAAATAATTTGCAATTTCATTCGGTATATCAACGCTTGAAAATGAAGAAAAACAAAATAAATAAATAAGACATCATCCGAAGACGAGTTGTGTTACAACGGATAAACAAACCGATATAGTATACCTTTGCACTTCAAAAACGTTCAATTGTGATTTTAATTACTGTACTCAAGACGAAAAAGAAATGTCAAAACAAAAGTCATAAAAATAAATCGCATTTTGGACGGGCTGATGCCATCGACGAGTTGAACCTTGTAAACATTGTGCTCTCTGTGCGCATATTAAGTGGATTTTCTTATCATTACACTTTGTCTTTCTGAACCTGATAATAATCTGAATAGTAAAAAAAACCGACTACAAAACAATTTCAAACATTGAAAACGAAGGAAAAAAGAAAAACGGTGCCTAATTTGTTGAAAGAGTAAGCACTTTTTTGTTTCACTTCAAGTGAACTCCTTTCCATATTATTCTTTACGTACACAATTTCTACAAAGTAATTTTTTTTACTTCAAAAATGTTGCACATTGGCACCAAAGTAACGATAAAGGTTCGTGAACATTTACCTTTAAAAGAATCGGACCTGGTGGATTGGAAAACGATAAAAACAATGGAAGTTACATTTAAAGAGAGGCAAATAAATGAGACTGGCAAAACAAGACGGAAGAAAAAAAGAATAATATGGACACATTGGTGTGCATACATACACACACACACACACACAATCGCAAATCTAATGCAAATCAAAAAGGTCTAAATGGCACACTATATCCATTGCGCATTGTATTCATGAATCATTACGGTGCCAATGTGCATAAATGTGATAACATACAATGGAAGGCATATTTCAGCGGAAGTGATTCGTCGTCATAGTTGTCGTTACGGTTGAGCGCTTGCACGTTCGCGCATCGAAAAAGATAATTTGGCAAAAATAGGAACACGCATGCAATTTGAAATGATTTATTTACCTGGTATTGAAGAAAGTCATCAGTGAATGAATGCACCATCGATGTTGGACACTTTGAATGCTCATGTATCATGTATATGCCATTTGACGGACAATTTGCATTATTATTTCTGGTGTTGAGGTTGTTGTTGTTGTTATTATTGCCACTACTACTGCAGCTGTTGTGTCCGAGGTTATTGTTGTTGTTGATGCTGTTGCTATAAATGCTATTATTATTGTTAGCATTATCAAAACTAATGTTATTCGAATTATTGGCATTGTTTATGCGATCCGTATTAAAACCGCTGAAGAAATAGCTGCCAAATGTGCGCTCCTTTTCAATGTGCTCGTACGAAGGTAGTTCACAATTTAAGCTATTGTATGTTTTCGGTACAAAGTATCCGTAGTTTGACGTAAAATTGCCACGATATCGTACCGGTTTCGAATATAAATGTCGATCGGTTATCGAATACAAGTCAGTGGATGTAATTTTTGTTTGCAATTTGCTGGTGTTATTTTGTGTGCGCAAATTGCATTCGCTCTCTTCATCTGATGAATCAGATGGGCTACGTTGATATGGTGTCCATAGCATTGATGATAATGCCTCTTCAACATCGCCGGGCGGTCGCCGATGTCTTTCCATCGTTTTGCTCCTTCAATCACACTAATCTCCACCCGCCTCTTTCCAAAAACCGTTTTCTTTTGTTTTATGTTATGTCGTCAATTTTTCACTTTTCTCGTCTCCTTTATTTTCTTTGCGGTTCATAAAAGTATGTTATTGCATATTCAATTAAACCATTTGATGCAATAGATTTATTTAATTAGCATAATTCCCATATCAATGATACACAATACGATGATAATGACAATATGGAAAGCAAATTCATCAATTTATCAATATTCGTTCGGTTTCGGTTCGGTTTGTGTTGTTCTTTTCACAATTATAATACATGAACATGGTTTGTTAGTTGTACAACGGCATTGCGATTAGAATCGGTAACGCGAGCTCTTAAGCATGAGTTAAAATGCCATATCAAAACATACACGTATGCCGCATATATATTATAAACATTTATCGACATACAATGAGAATGTCCATTTCGTGTGTCGATGCCAATGATGATGATAGTGATAATAGTGGTAATAATAGCTATCAAGTTGATGTAATGACATAACACAATATGGCATACTTATCCGTAACGATATGCATATAACGATATATACGATACGTTTAAATATGCGCTTTCTGAGATTGAATTGTTTATGGGTGGTGGTGGTGTTAGGTGCTGTTGTATCCACAACAATTTATCACAAGTTAAGCGATAGCGTCTTCGTTACTATTGACTGCTTGCCTCGTGTGCTTTATTTCTCTGCGGTATATGCAATCAGTTCACACCAGTGTTGTGCTTTCGATTTTACAAAGAGACAAACTCACATTCACAACTAGATCATATCACATAATACGCCTCGCACGCAATATTCCAATGAAATTCAATCAACTATGGCTGGATGAAACCGAACCAAAATACGTATAACATAAACCAACGCGGCTTCCTTGCTTCAGCACTTCAGATGATATTCTCTTGCGTTTTTTCATTTATGATAATTCCATATAATTAACATACAAATGCAATAATATTTTGCGTTGATGTTTTCCTTATGTTGACGTTGCTTGTCATGCACTTTATGTGTTGCTTTTTTCTCTGCTTTTTTTCTTCTTTTTTTAGAGTTTCTTTTTATGCACAATTTACTGCTGGATGATGATTATGATTATGATGATCTCGGTTCACTCTCGCACGCTTTCAATTAGAAGTAAAAAAAACACTCACACAAGGTAATGTAAAGAAAGCACTTTGGATGCGTACGTCCGTGTTTGTTTGTGTGTAGGTCGACTTCGCATAAAGCTTTCGCACTTTCACTCAACGTAACAGCCTCGAGAAATGCAGCCGACTAGAAAAAGTGTCACTCAAGTTCTCTTTTTTTTTTTTCACTTGGCGATTGCCGTTTATTTCTCTTAAATTAATTCATTAAAATAATAGAACTAATGCGAGTTTTTACGAGTAACTGCTGCAGTTGATATGAATGTAGCACAATTTACGGAATCGTGTTTCTCTTTCTCGATATATTTTTAATATTCTACTTATAGTGTTGGCTGCTGCTTTTTTTCACATTTTGTTGTTAAACCAATCAATTTCCATAAATGTCTGGTGCTTATCGGCTGCAGGTAATGATTTATTTTCCTTTCGTTGCCAAAAAAAAATAAATGAAGTCTGAAGATCGTTTACCGGTGATATCGTTGAATGTTTGGTATTTGTCTGTATCTACAAGTTCCACCACTCCGAGTATTCTCAAATGATACTTTTTCTTCCTTTGTTCTTTGACTTAAAGAAAAAAAAATCCCAAAATCACGAGAGGTCGTTCATTCAAAATATGCAAAAACACCAACTGAAACGATGGTAAAAATAGAAAATGAGAATAAGAAAATGTTATTATTAAAATGACTGTATATGATACAGGCTATATCACATTGCATAAATTTCTTTGGTAGTGTGTGTTTTTTATGATTTGACATAATAATGGGCCTGTGATGTTTGTTTCAATGCGATGCATAAGTGAAATAAAGAGCAAAGAAAAGAAATAAACACAAAGCGTAGTGGAAGAAAGGCAAGTGTGTTTGATATATTTAAATACTATTTACAGTTGCCAACGACCAAATTTGCCATTTAAAATACGAGAGATTTTCGCTCCAGATGGAATTCGACTGCTGTTTTATGTATTATGTTTTATTTAGATGTAATTATGATTAAATTTCTCAAATTAACATCGAATGAAAATGAAATAACGAGCGAACAAATGTGCGAGAGATACACTTGCCGCGCGCTCCCGCAATCTAGTTAAATGAAAACAACGAACAAAAAAAAAATGCTGTGTATCCCGCACATGGAATTTGCGATGAATTGAACGAGATAGATGTTTATTATTTTTCAACGTAATAAGATCTTGTTATTCGGCTGATTTGTAAAAATTCATATAAACATAAAAAAATGCGGAGACCGCGATTGAATGATGAAAGAGTATTTAGTGAAATTTTGAAAGGACTGGGAACGAATGCGTCATGTTAAACTATGTTATTAGAATGTGACTCAGCAATCATGTAATTTCTCTCTCTCTCTCTCTCTCTCTCTCTCTCTCTCTCTCTCTCTCTCTCT